TAATTGCATTCGGTAAATGGCAAAAAGGTACGCAATAGCAGGGTAATTAAAGGAAACTTAAATAAGATGCAAATGGTTTGTGCAACTGATTTCTTTGGAAAAAAGTTTCATTGCCATTTTTCGTTTAACATATGTCCATTATTTTGATTTACATTCATTGCCATTTGTCTATCTGACAATAGACACAGCTGGTTATCTAAAAGAAGCGATTTCTCCGCGATGCAGGTTCTTTTCAGATATTAACATTCATACGTGTTACGTGTTGGTCGTGCAGCGGATGACCAAAATTATCATGAATTTACAAATGTTTGTTTAATTATTTTCTTGGAGACAAACCATGAGTCAGATGATTCCAAGATTTGAACCCATCCATAAAAATATGGTATATAATAAACTTGACGAACAGATGGCCTTCATGAAGAATTTTATTACAGATGGCTTTACATATTTATGATCTCATCAACGTACTTTATTTGTACCGCTCTGGAGAAGTTGCATAGATCTGTCCTCATCATCAGTTCGTTCAGGCAATTGCTGCAAATGTATGAGGCGATGGCCATAAACACGTGCTTCGTTAAGTCCTCACCAATATCGAAAGCAACCGCTTTGCTTAGAATATGCTGCAACTAAAAAGGAGTCTGCTGCAGAAGGCGTGAGGTAAGTGAATTTGCATACGAAGTCAAGCAATTCGTTAAGGAAATTTCTACTGGACTGATTCTGCTTTGCACCGGTGGAATATTCAGCTTCCAGTATGCCAGACACTGAAATTATGACAAGTTTCGTGCACATGCAGGACTGGTGAAACGGAAAAAATGCAATCATGTCTATCAGAGAAAAATAAATGATACCAGAGCTCAGGTAAGACATAACGAATGCCCTATTTGGAAGTGACCTAACGTTGGTCGCACTGTTTTGCAGTTTGTTGATCCATGTGTGTTGTTTTGTTATTTTCATTCGAGGCTAACAACAGCAGAATAATCCAGATTTATGGTATCTGACCTTCAGAAATGGTACCTCAGATCAATATTAAGCAACTGTCGCTGTCGAGGCGTAGTTCATATTTTTTTTCACACCCAACCTCGTTTCAATAAGGTACTACAGGCTTCACGTTGTATCTTTACACATCTACGACTATAGGAAAGTGCCAGGGCAGAAATTAATTTTAAAATTTTTTCATTTCCCTTGATTGTGATTTGGACAGTATTGTGTAACAACCACGGGCATATGATGCTATTATACAGTCTTCATCTCTCTCTAAGGTGCTTTCCTATAAACCATCGGCTTAGATTCTTAATTCTCAGCGTGAATCAAGCAGCCACGGTTGATCTAAATATAATAGTGCTTTGAAAACTTGCATTAAAACGTCGAGGGCTCTTTGCAAAATCAGCATCTTTTTGTGAGCCTTCCATTTTTTCTTGCTGGACGCTCTTTCAGTACGCTTTCGCTGTGTGTTGATGACAAAAGCAAATGCCGATTTCTGCTGTCAACTTGCCTATCAGTGAAAATAGACGCGGGAAAATGCAGTTCTTCAACAGATTTCTGTATATTTCACTAGCCATATCGCGGAACAGCTGCCGGATTTCTCCCAGTTCGTAATGCTTGAATATCGGTTCTTCTGTTGCTTGACCATTGGCTGATGCCGATGCCTAAAACATATGGTTTAAATGGCGTTGTTCCCTCGTTTAAATTTTTAGTGTATGTTAAGTGTACAAAAAAATAATGATGAGGCTTAAAATGGCCGTAGAGTTCAATTTGAGTTTTGTATTATAAACAGGCAATCAGTCTCACTTACGTTTAGCATAATCTTTCCAGTGTATCGTTGCACCCGTTTGCACAGTCCTGTTTTCTGAGCTACAGGTTAAAGTGCCATCCCGTTCCACCTATCCACCAGTTTTCACGGCTCGCTATGCTTTTGAACACGTAGTAGACGCGGTTTCAGAAAATTCATCAATTGATGAAACGCTTACGTGCTTTGCGCTTAGCGCAGTCAATGCAGCCGTCAGAATCTTTCATTTACTGTAAAATAAATTTGCCTATATGAAATCATATCTAATCTAAAGTCCTAGGGGAAGATTCAAAGGCAACGCCCGTAACCAGTCATTTTCTAGGCATAACTTTGCCAGCGTCGATCATCGATTCTTTGGACGGGATGTAAATGATTGATTCGAGCAGCTATTTTCCATTGCAAAGTATGTGCTGTAATTTAATAATGTCATTTGCTTACTTGTTTATCTACCTTGAATACCAAGGCGGACAGTTTGATGTAACATGAAAAGGCTGATGGCAGCAAAATTGTCAGGCCAACCAAAGACAGGTGCGAGATAGAGTGACAACGATAACTCGAGGTACTTGCGGAAAAACATAAGAATCCGCGCTGTGCGGTTATGGGTCTATAAAGGTTCATCACTGAATCAGTCCTTGTTTTCAGTGGAGACAGAAGCAATATGTAAAGATGTGCATGAATCAATCTATATTGCGTGCTATATGCAGATGACTTAGTGCTGAATAACGGAAGTGGAGAAGCAGTGGAAGGTAAAATCGAAGCATTGAGAAGAATCCTGGGAAAAACGATGTAAAGCTCAGCAAAGGCAAGCTGGAATATATGACGGGTTATTTCAGCAGAGATAATCATATCATGAATCAACGAAAGTAACGGGAGCCTGCTGCCTCAAGCTGAAGCATTCAAGTTTCTTGGTTCCATGATTCAGGACAGTTGGATAATCAACAGTGAATCAAGAAATCGGTCGAAAAAGGTGTTTCTAAGATGGAAATAGGTTAACGGCATACTGTAAAATACGATGGCATCGAGCGGAATATTTGGCTACCCCAAAGAGACATGATCAACAGTTGAAATCGGTAGAAATTCGAATGCTCGGTTTGATGTTTAGTATCAGCAATAAGGACACATAACCATAATACCTCGATAAGAAGAGGCACTTTAAGTTCAACACTAATCTCAGAAACATTCATCGAAAGCAGGTTTCTTAAATTCAGTCTAACAGATCACCTTAAACGAGGATCCCATGAGTACGTTGGACAAAGTGATACTGTCAGGGAAGAAAAGAGAAGGAAGACCGGAAGGTGGCGTTATGTCGTGCAGAACGATATGGAACTGTTCGTGTGACCGATAATTTGACCAAAGATGGAAAAACACGGAGACAGTTGACACTAAGAGTGGATCCTATTAAAGGGAACAGCTAGTAAGAAGAAGAAGAAAAAAAATTAGTTTACTTGTTTACTTGGCGGAGAAGGATGACAATTACATCAGTAAACAATAACATGCACAGAGTCGGTATGTAACATCTTCATTCCATAAATCTATTTGAAATCAAGGCAACTTACTGACTCTCCACTATGCTGTTGCATTAGAATATACAAACAGGATGCATTTGTTAGCCACAGAAGCACCAAGTCCATATCCGTCTCGCCCTATGGTTAACATGACCATGAGGGTTCAAGCATGTAAATGAGACGCAACGCTTCACCTCGTTTTCTGCGAACTTGTTACGAATTTCTTTTGATACCAGATGAACCAGGTGATTCAGCTGAGTTGCATCTTCGACATAATCATAATAAAGAAGCGCCATAGTGATGAGGTATGCCGGCAAACGAGGTGATAAGCCCTCCAACATATACGGTGCCATGTCTAAAATCAGTAATTCTCGTTGTCAGTGATAGATAACAGAGCAGAGATGTTTGTTCATACTCGTGATGAGGAGAAGTGTGAACCTCTCGACATCGATGATCTCTAAAATTCCCAAATATTTTGTCTTCGATTCCGAGGTGCTGTCCAACCCCTTCCGATGTTCTGACAACCGGAGGCTGTTTTCATTACCAAAATATTCGCTCAACATTTGAACTTGTTGCCTACATTCTTCAAGCGCTTTTTGCAATACCTATGCAATAATTAATATCAGCACTATTATTTGAATTGTACACAGAGTCAAAATGACGAATATGATTCAGCGTCAAATGACAATTCAGTGCCAAGCAAGGTTCGTTTCCAACCAATCATCTGATAATCTTCTGGTTTGTATTAACAACAATTTTCGATGATTCAGTAATGAGGCTAATGAAACCCTCTTAGCCAGGGTTTTTAAAGCTATTTCTATCTTTAGAGCTGATCTGTCAATGACACCATGGACTGAACGATT